GAGATTAGCAGCAATTCCAACAGCAGGCTTGCCTAATTTCCAGGCAAGATCATAGCACGGATTGTTAAAGAAATGATCGCAAAAAAATAAATCAACATTGACCTCTTTTGCAGTTTCTTTGTAGATTTTATAAAGAGGCAAATAAGAAGAAACAGTAATTTTATGAAAAGATTTAAATGAGCTCATTAGTTCATCATCAGGCAATATGTTTTTTATCTCTGCGCTAGCATTACTGTTAAAACCCAATTCTTCGGGATCAAAGATAATTTGTGGAATTGAACGGTATGAGAGGGATTGCGCTGTATAGTTTACTGGCGCTATTAATGTTACCTAAAAGTAATTAAATAGGTAAGAAAAGTATACTGAATTATGAAATGTCGAAGCTGAAGCTGGAAATTGTGAGTCTATTTAAAAATATGATCTATCAAAATTCATTTATACCCAACATCAATCTTAACCTGAATATGAAAGCAAAGTCAGAAAAATGTATTAAAAACAAGAATTTTAAAGTTTTATATGGAAGTAAGTTAAATTTCCAGCTTCAGCATTGCCAATTTCAGCTGCGACAATGCGCATTATAATATAATACGTATAATATTATCATACATTATATCCTCGATCCATTAAAATCTTGCAAATTTCCAGTATTGAAGGAAGATGACTTCCTGTCATTATTAAATGATTAAATAATTAATTATCTCTATAAACATTTTTGAAAACATATACCAACTTTTCCAAATTATTATTTTGGAGAATGTTCATTGTTTCGGAACAAAACATATATAAATTCCTTGCTATATGCGTAAAATCCCGATAGCTTGCGGGTAAAATTAAATTCTGATAATAGTTGGCTCTTAATTTTAAAAGAGTGCAAAAGATTAGAAGCCAGATATTCTCAGGATTAATTTTTATACAACAATGTATATACATTTTGTGCCAGAAAAAATGAGCATTTTCCGGAATGATAACCTTGGAAAGTTTGTGTATGTCTTTCAATTTTTTTTTATCGGATAAATTATAAATAACGCACACAAATAAACAATAAATAATTATGATAGAATAAAAAACAAATATAATAGCCAACTTACCACCGAGCACGGACGTAGCGAGTATGTTTTTTGGTACATTGATCCTGTCCAAAGAAGGATCACGTTTAATAAAGTTTGTGGATCCAAGAGACTTATTTACAAAAAAGAGAAATATTACAAGCTGCCAAATAGCAAATAAAGAAAATGAAGGTCTTGAAAACATTTTATATGAATATACTTTTAATAGCAATAAAAAAATTTTTGATTTTTTAGCAAGAGAAAATGTATTTTATGGAGAGTTATTTCACGGAATAATGCTATGGATTAATATTGTATAGTATTATGGTTAAAGGATTCTACCCTACATGTCTAGTGTGTCAAGTTTTTGCCTGATTGTGTCGAGCATTATGCATGCCCCTGGGCCAGAGTCCCAGGTTTTACAGGATTTGAAATTCATAAGCAGTAAATAAAATTCAAAAATCTCCGAGTCTCTACTAGGTCTAGACATGCCCTATTATATGCGTACGTAATTTTTAAAAATGTATATATTTTCTATTTATCATCTCCTGTATCTCCATGCTGTACATACGCCAATCAACCATATCGGCTAGAAAGCAAGATTAAATATATAAGTTGCAGGTTGTGAGTTAGTCTTTATCGATTAAGGTTATAACATAGCGTAAAAATTATTGAAGATTCGCAAAAAGTATTTCGGCACTGATTTTTACAGTAATATGATATCGAAAATGTTTCTTCGATGTAATAATGCCGGTAAATCCTCGAATAATTTCTACTCCATGTAGTTTTAGTCTTGCAAAAGCATAGTTTTCCGGATAGCATAATATACTTCGCAAGCCCACCTTTTCCTATTTTCAAGCGCATTATGCCAAGATAATAAATTTGAAATTTTACGGCTGATGCTCATTACACCCTATAAAATCTACTTATACTTCTTTAATAATAATTCTAATCTTAAATCCTAGCCAAAACCAATATATATATATATATAATTTTGTACTAAAGTAGGCACCAAAATCAGGATCAGCAAAAATCAGTATTAGCGTTAGCCGTAACTCTAATTAGTATTTCTTCCAAATTATATAAATATTTAAACTATTATACATCAATATTTATTGCTAACAAAGTTATATTATAATAATTATATTAGAATTATTTGTGTTCATTAGCTTTTTGCAAGTCTCATTACTCCAATTCCATTCCGGCAATAGTGTCCAATATAATATATCTAACATAACGTATTCTGCTAGCTTTTACCATTTTGTTAATAAATAAATCATTATGTTCATCCTTTTCAACTCCAATTCCTCTTTGATAACAATGTTCAGCATTATATGTTCCATTAGCAGTCCTCAAATCTGCAGCTTTTTTGATAATCAATGTTTTAATGTGCTCTATGAATTACTTTCGTAGTATTTTTAGATTTTGTTAGATGCAGATAATTTTCAAATATTATTGTGATTGTATATTGATTACTGTATTGGATTTCAAATTTCTATGAATATCGGCAAAATGGCAGTGAGTAAGCAAGGAGAGTGATAACATGGCTCTAAGCATGTGAGTGGTTACACAGAAGGAAAAATGTCTTTAATCAGTTGGCCCGGTTCATTTCACCGAAAATCAATTCGTAGACAGAGCGATTCACTGACTGAACGATTCACCGACAAGTTTATTTCGCCGATAGTACGATTCACCGACAAGTTTTCTTTATAAATTACACTAACCTTAACTCTAATTCTAGCCTGACTAGTGATGGGCAAATCCCAATATTTTCAAAAATCCCGCGCGGGATGTGGGATCACGCGCGTGATCCGCGGGATTGAGTAGAGTTTTTGAATTTCTCACGAATAATAAAAATATATATAAAGATTATTAATGTAAATATAATTTCTTGTTAAAATAATAATTATTTCTTATAAATCTTACTGCATTTATTATAAATAAAAAAA